TTATGAGATTACAGTAACTCCTTAGTAAGTGGCTTACTATAACGTTATAGTAAATATTCCCATGTGTTATAGTAACCCAACTATTATAAATATATATTGACATTATCGTAAATTAGTATATAAAATTATCGTAAATGGAGGTGGCTACTATAGTTGGCCATGCAGCCCGAGGCACGACGGCACGACACGAAGCTCGCTTTTTTAGCCCGACACGAGCACGGCACGGCCCGGTGACATGCGGGCCCGGGCTGGCTCGGCCCGAGAGAGCAGGCCGTGCCTGGGCCACTGCTCAGGCCCGTGGGCTGGCACGACACGGCCCGGCCTGCGTCAGCCGGCCCGGGAGTGACCCGGCCACCCCTCCCCCTCCTCACTCCACTTCCCCTCCCCGCGGCCCAGCTGGCCGGCCCACCGTCCCCCGAAACCCTAAGTCCCTAACTCCCTTCCCCTTCCCCTCCCCCTCCCCACGCAGCATTCCCCTTCTCTCTCTCATGGCAGTCGCACCCCCCTCCTCTCCCTCCCCACAATGTCGTGCGCACCACACCCCCTCCTCTCCCCCACGCCGTCACAAGACCTCCTCTCCCCACGCCGTCACACCCACCCCTCCTCCTCTCCTCCTCGCGCACAAGCTACAGAACGCCACGACATCCATCCATGACCTGCCTCGGGCTCCTCTCCTCCCGTCCCTCCACGAGGCCACGCCTTGGGTGCGAGCGCGGCGTGCTCGAGCTCCTGCTTCCCCGCGGCTCGCCGAATCCCCTCCATCCCCTTCTCTTCTCGTGGGATCCAACGTCGAGCGCCGCCATCGCCTCCCGCAGTCCCGCTTTGGCTGCCGCGGGAACGAGCGCGCTGGCCCCAAGCTCTGCCCCGACACCAGATCCGGCCACGAGCTCCGCCCCGACGCCAGATCCGGCCACGAGCTCCGCCCTAATGCCACGATCTCCGGCTGCTCATTGTCAGGGCTTCCGTCGCGCTCTCCTCCCAGGCCGCCTCAGCAGCAACTCCCAGCCTACCCTCCCTCCCTTCCCCTGCTGATGCGGGCCTCGGGCCGGCCTGGCCTGTTAAAAAGGTCGTGCTTTCCGGGCCGGCCCGGCACAAAAAGTGGCCCGATGGGCCGTGCCTGGGCCGTCGGCGAGGCACGGTGGACTGGGGCGTCACGGCCCGGCGGCCCGTCGTGTTCTACCATGTCGTGCCCTACCGGGTTGTGCCTGGCACGGGCCCGTGCCGGGCTAGGCCGGGCGGCCCGAATGGCTAGCTATAGTGGCTATAGAATAACTTATTTTGTAGCTGGCTACTGAATATACCCTCCCTCGTAAATTAGTATATAAAATTATCGTAAATGAAGGTGGCTACAGAATAACTTATTTTGTAGCTGGCTAATGAATATACTCTCCATACATACATACATAAATACATACATATATATAGCCACCTCCATTTACGATAATTTTTATATAATAATTTACTATAATGTCAATATATATTTACGATAGTTGGGTTACTATAACACACGGGGATATTTACCATAACATTATAGTAAACCGGAGTTACTATAATCTCGTAAATTAACATAGTAATTATCGTAACTCAAAGTGTCTAGGCTAGCTACACTAGTATTATATATATATATATATATATATATATATATATATATATATATATATGTGTGTGTGTGTGTGTGTGTGTGTGTGTGTGTGTGTGTGTGTGTGTGTGTGAAGGAAGTGATATTGGCGCGGCTCGATCAGTCACCGGAGGATTCAGATTCACCTTCATGCATGTAAATTAAAAATACATCATCTGATTGAACCTCACCAATATCGCTCGCTCCATCCACCATGCAATTTATATACCAAGCAGAATACTGCTCGTCACACGGCCGATAGCTAAATAGTCTGCGTCTTCTTCCTCCTCTCCACTGCCTCTCTCATCGATCACATATGATCTCTTTTACAACTGCTCATCTAATATGCATATGCAATTATGCATGCGTCACCTAGAGCTAGCTAGACTCAAGAAAAAATCAAGGCACGCGCTCGAATCGACCGACTGCTGATTGATAGATCTTCACATCTACCGTCCTGCTGCTAGCCACAAGCAAGACAATCGGATCGGCCGCGGAGATTCGGCCTGTTCGGTTGACTGATTCGTATCGTTGCTGGTTCATGAAGAAGTGGTTTGTGTGAGAGAAAAATACTATTTCGTCTAAAAATTTACGATTGTTTACGATAAGCCACAGTCAAACGAAAAGGCTGATTATCACGTTCACGATAGGGTTCAAGGAATATATATATAGGAAGTGCGATATAATAAGGCAGCTTTCGACAAGTGCTACGGTCCGGCGCTGCTGGTTGCAGTTGCTGTAGGAGTCATGCACTACCGAGGCCTGCAACAATGTTGGTACTCCAATGTCCTCTCATGTAGCTACCTACCAAACCCTATACTGAAACTGAGCTATATTGGCGCTCGATCCCGCAGCCTTATTGGCGCCCCCCAAGTTACAGGTCTCCTGGTTACAACACGAGTTGCCTAATATTTATGGTCTCCTCTAGGATATAGAGTTCAACTCCAATTCTATCCTAACCTTAATTAATACAACTTAAATCGCAACTTAACAATCTATACACATATTTGACACATATCTAACAGTTTATCTTGTAAATTCAACTAGAAATTGAGAATAGCACACTGGCTTGGCATGTTGCCTTTTGTATCTCGAACGTGTGAACGAACTTGGAATGAAGAATTTAGGCTAATAATCAGCTAAAGCAAAAGAGGCATCCACTTCCAGTTATCACCTCATCTTGAAGATAAATACATGTTTGAAACGCAGAAATCATAGAGGAATTTCTCACAAAAATTAGTTCAATTTCACAAGAAAAACATATAAAAAGAGAAATAAAATCATGTGTTCTGAACCGGGCCTAAGTTTTTACCCTTGATTGAATCAGTGCACTTTCAAGTTTGAACAAACAATACACAGTGAATAAATTACCATCATATGCTCATTTAATTACTCTCGCGTCAAATTAACAACAGAAAATACAAGGCAAATGTGACAGCACATCATGTCGTCCAACCAACTCCCTCTTCAGTGGGCATGGCCGAGGATCGTGAGGTGGGGTTCGAACTGCGGCAGCTCGTCCTCGTCTCCGTCGCCGTCGAGGTCAATGCCGCCGCCCGGCAGCACCACCCCCACGCCCTCGGGCTTGCACGTCTTGTCCGTGGCAGGGTTGCACCCGTACGCGGAGTCCTCGGCGGCAGCGGCGTCGGCGGACCTGACGAGCAGCACGCAGGCCAGCGCCAGCGCCATGAAGAGCAGCCACACGCGCGGGGACGTCGTCGTCATGGAGATCGATGTCAGATAGACAGACAGACAGACACACGTACACGGAAAGCTAGCTTTTTCGCAAGGTCGCAGTAGAGGCCGGTGCGATCGCAAGCACGGAGGAGAGGAGGTCCCTTGCGGACTTTGGCGAGGCGAGGGTGGTGCAGCCGGGGTGCTCTAAAAGGCGGCAATGGAGTGGCTGCGCGCGGCCTCTGTGGTTGCATGCATGGCGACCGGGTGTCACGGAAGCGCCTCTCGCGAGCAACCTCCTGCCCAGACGTTACGTTACCATAGTTAGACGGTCTCCAACAGCACGACCAAAACATAAAATAGGTAGTTCACAGTATTTTGGTTACCAAAAAACACGCTCTAACAGAAGATCCAAATAGAGAATGCATTTTGCATACCAGCTGAACCGAAACGCAAATAAGCGTCGAGAGAGACGACGCAAATCTCTGGCGCCGTAGTGGTGGGCCCACGGCGAGGCGCGGCCGGCTCGGTGAGGCGAGCTCGTGGCGAGGAGCCGCCAGCGCTTCCAGGAAGGTCCGCGACGGACGCGGCCGGCGCGGCCAGGCAGGGTTGTTGCGGGGAGCCGCCGGAGCGTCGAGGAGAGGAGAGGGTGACCGGATCTCGCAGGTGCCGCTCGCGGTGGGGATGAAGGCGGCTCGCGCGCGGCAGCTCTCACCCGCGGTGGTGCTTGCCTGCAGTGGCGCTCGCGAGGCGGCGGACGAAGGGGCCCGCGCCGGGGACGCTGCCAGAGCTCGTCCGCGCGAAGGGGCCGCGCGCCTTGCCGGATCTGGTGCCGAAGCTCGCAGCTCGGTGGCCGGCCACGGGGAAGACGAAGACGGATGAGCAAGCGGCACCAGACGGAGAAAACTGGGAGTCTTCTTTTGGGTTCTCTGTTGAAGAAGGAAGGTTTTTGGTGCGTGACTCTTTCCCTGTACGTGACTCAAATCATGGAATAGGTCTCGTGTTTGCGTCCTTACTGTTGGAGACAATCTTAGCACTGTGCTATTTTGGGACAGTGAACCTGGCCCTGGCGCGCATCAAACAGTACTATTATATTGCTGGTTGTTCATTTGCAGAGATATTGTTATCTTCATCAGTTTCTGAATTTTCACTAACACAAGCTATATAAACAAGGACATTGGAACTGATCATAAATCAGTTGACTAGGTTTTTTGTGCTGGAACCTGCTCACCTAGGTTAGGTCCTTGACTTGGCACGGGTGATCGTATTTTTCTAGATTTATTTCAGGATTTAACGGCGCTATGTTTTCAGTGGTAGGCGACGTCCCTGTCGACAGCGAAGCGCCTACGGTGACTTCGTAAATCTCATGGTTATGGTGACTTCATGAATCTCGAGATCTGCCGACTCAGTCATTCGAAGGTGCTCGTAGGGGTAGGGTTTGCGTGCGTGTATTCACTGATAAATAGATAGTATGACAATGTTTTATAGAGAAAGATTAGTGGTTATTTTATTGTTAATTAAATTACTTCAATAACTTAGTGGTGCACAAATCTTTATTTTATAGAGAAAGATTATATGTTGATAGGCATATGATACTGTCTTTTATTTTTTATATTTTTTATATTTATGAGAAATAAATATAAAACCAAAAGAAATAAGAATCAAAACCGGGATGCTTGAGTCACGTGGGAAAAAAATCATAAAATGCTCACGGAAAAACAAAACAAAGAGCATGGTCCAGGGGCAGCTCGGTGAGCGAGAACTTGGACGACGGAAGGATGTTGGAGTCGAGCGCGACCTCTGCGAGGTAGCTATTCAGCAGCTTGGCGGCCTTCACCAGGAGGCTCTGCTTCGGTGACCACGGGCTGTCGTAGTCGAACCCGGCGTCTTCCTCGTTGTCGTCGTCGAGGTTGAGGAACACCGAGAAGATGCACGCAACCACGTCCGTGTCGTACAGCGCGTGCTGCTGCATGGCCGGTGTGGCCGTGCCCGTGCCAGAGGCGATGAGTATGTCCTCTAGGATGGCCTGGTCTAGCTGCATGCCGATCCGCTTCTCCATGTCGGCCCTGCAGAAGTGCAGATGTTGGACGCGGACACCACCATCGCCGTCTTGAGGAGCCCCGAGAGGAAGGCCATCGGAACAGGGCTGTTCTTGGACAGCGCTGGGAACAGACCCACGACGGCGCGCTGCTTCTTGACGGCGTTGGCGTCCGCGTCCGCCGAGCTATAAAAAAACCCCAAGCTGATGCCCTCCTCGATATCTCCCTGGAAAGAGTTTAGGATGGAGCCAACAAGCTTTGCTGTATTGATCTCTGTGTGTTTTATACAAGTACAAGGCAGTGGAACTGCCGGCGCGAGGCGCGTCTGCGGGCCGAGCGCACGGACGCGGAGCCACAACGTGGACGACATCGTGGCTGACTAGCGCGTAACCACGGCGACAGCAGAGCGGGAAAAACCTCAGCTAGCCTATCCGAAGTAATACAAATTACACACTTTATCACCCCCCGCAGTCTGATGAGTCATAGGCGTGACACAAAGACTGTCCTGAAAGCCTTGAAGGTCTTCGTCGTGAGTCCTTTCGTCATGATGTCGGCATACTGCTCGCCCGTCGGCACATGTAGAACGCGTAGCTCACCAGCCTGCACCCGTCCACGCACGAAATGGATGTCGAGTTCGATGTGCTTCGTTCTCTTGTGATGCACTGGATTCGCAGACATGTAGACAGCCGATACATTGTCACAGAACGTGATTGTAGCCTTCAGAATGGGGTAGTGAAGTTCGCTGAGAAGTTGTCATAGCCAAATGCACTCGGCGGCGGCATTGGCCACCGCGTGGTATTCTGCCTCCGCGCTAGATCACGACACGGTGGGCTGTCGCTTAGACAACCACGACACCAAGGAGTCGCCAAGGAACACGCAGAAGCCGGACGTTGAGCGTCGAGTGTCGGGGCACCCAGCCCAATCCGCGTCGGAGTACGCCGTGACGTCGAGGTTCGGTGAGGCGCGGAGCAGGAGGCCGTGCGACGTCGTGTCGCGGACATAGTGTAAGATCCGCTTCAGCTATGCCCAATGTTGCTGGCGCGGATCATGCATGTAGAGGCATGCTTGTTGCACGGTGAAGGTGAGGTCCAGCCGTGTCACTGTCAGGTACTGCATGGCGCCGGCGATGCTGCGGTATGACATCGCGTCTGGCACAGAGGGTCCATCGGAGGAAAGCTTGACTTTCCCGTCGATCGGCGTCGTGGCGGCCTTGCAGTTGGACATGCCCGCGCGCTGAAGAATATCCTCGGCATACCGGCTCTGGGAAAGGTAGAAGCCGGCCGCCGTGCGCTGGACATCGATGCCGAGAAAGAAGCACAGGTCGCCCATGTCTTTGACATCGAACTCGGAGCGGAGGGCGTGGACAATCTGGTGCAGCAGCGAAGAGCTCGATGCAGTGATGACCATGTCATCGACGTAGAGGAGGAGGTAGGCGACGTCGGATCCTTGGCGAAGAACAAAAAGGGAGGAGTTGGATCGAGTCGCCTGGAAGCCGAGACGAACGACGTATGTCGCGAACTGAGTGAACCATGCTCGTGGCGCCTGGCGAAGACCATACAAGGATTTGTCGAGGCGAAAGACGGCTTGAGGACGCTTAGCATCCATGAAGCCAATGGGTTGCTGGCACAACACGAATTCATCGAGATGTCCATGGAGAAAAGCATTTGAGACATCGAGTTGCCGAGTCGGCCACTGCTTGGAGGCGGCGATGGTGAGCACTGTGCGCACGGTGGCCGGTTTGACGACCGGCATGAAGGTCTCCTTGAAATCAACCCCGACGCGCTGTGTAAAGCCTTGTACCACCCATCTCTCCTTGTACCGCTCAAGAGAGCCATCTGGATTCAGTTTGTGCTTGAAAACCCATTTGCCCGAGATGATGTGCGCACCAGGTGGCTTGTCAACCAGACGCCATGTCTGGTTTGCTTGCAAGGCGGAGAACTCAGCCTCCATGGCACCGTTGAAAGCTCTAGTTTGGTTTTAGTGAATTAATGAAACCCTAAGTGCTAACCTAGTTTATCAAGTGATCATGAGATAGGTAGCACACTCCAAGTGATGAAGCAAATGAAGATCATAGCATGATGATAATGATACCATGATGATGATCAAGTGCTTGGACTTGGAAAGAAGAAAGAGAAAAACAAAAAGCTCAAGGCAAAGGTATAAACCATATGAGCTATTTTGTTTTGGTGATCAAGACACTTAGAGAGTGTGATCACATTTAGGATTGATAGCCGTACTATTAAGATGGGTGAAACTCGTATCGGAATGCGGTTATCAAAGTGCCACTAGATGTTCTAACTCATTGCATATGCATTTAGGATCTAGTGGAGTGCTAACACCCTTGAAAATATTTGTGAAAATATGCTAACACTTGTGCACAAGGTGATACACTTGGTGGTGTTGGAACATTTACAAAGGAGGTGGTGTTCGCAAGCTCAGCGGGATTCAGCGCTTTCGGGAAAATGGAATGCCTATTTTCTATTGCGCCAGATGCAAAATCCTGTGGTTGGCTCATTAGAGCAAGGGTGAAGAAGTTAGAAGTGAAAACGAGTTGATCGTGAAGACGCTGGCGTCGGTCTTCTGACCGGACGCTGGGTCTGAAAGCACCGGACCCTGGCTGCGTGTGTCCGGTCAAACTGACGGGTCTACGAGTGCCGAGGGTATTGCACCGGACGCTGATCTGTGTCCGGTCAAGGTGGACCGGACGCGTCCGGTCGAAGAAATACGCCTCGGGGAGCTTACTAGAAACGACCGGATGCTGGGGCTTTAGCGTCCGGTCAGTTTTACCGGAGCGTCCGGTCAACTATGTAGCCGTTGAAATCGGGCGATCGGCGTTTGAAGCCAATGACTCGTGGCGCTCATCGCACGACCGGACGCTGAGGTCCAGCGTCCGGTCAATATGACCGGAGCGTCCGGTCGGCCCGTGTTCAGCCCAGTGAAGGGGTACAACGGCTCTATTTCACTGGGGCTCTATTTATAGCCCCATGGCCGGCTCAAGCTTACTCTCTTGCACATTTTCATTGACATAGCAACCTTGTGAGCTTAGCCAAAGTCCTCCCAACTCATCTCCATCATTGATCCATCATCATTGTGAGATTGGGAGAGAATCCAAGTGTGTTGCTTGAGTGATTGCATCTAGAGGCACTTGGTATTCGTGTTGCGCTGCGGATTTCGCTTGTTTCTCTTGGTGGTTGCCACCACCTAGACGGTTGGAGCAGTGGTGGAGGATTGGCATGAGTTGGTGATTGTTCGTGGCCATCTCCGGTGATTATAAGGGGAGTTGTACCTTCCCCGGCGGAGTGCCGAAAGGTAACTCTAGTAAATTACTCATGTCATTGAGTTACCTCACTTGTGGGTCGGTTCTTGCGGTGTCCTATAGTGTGGACGAGGTTTGTGAAACACCTCTTAGCCGCCGAACCACCAAGTGTTGGTCGACACAACGGAGACGTAGCGTATTGGCAAGCACGTGAACCTCGGGAGAAAATCGATTGTCTCTTGTCTTTGGCATTCTCCCGGTGATTGGCTATATATTCATCTTGTGATTGGTTCATCCCTTACACGTCGGTATAATCACCCTACTCACTTATTTACATTCTTGCAAACTAGTTGATACAAGCTCTTTAGTGTAATTAGAATTGAGAGCTTGCTTTATTATTTACATTCATCTAGTTGAGCTCTTTAGAGTAGCAAGACTGAGAGCTCTTAGTGGGTAATTACATAGCAAGTTTGTGTGCCTAAGTAATCATTGCAACTAGAGTTGTTGGATAGGTGGCTTGCAACCCTTGTAGAGTTAGAGCAAGTTTGCATTACGCTATTTGTCATTCTAATCAAATTGCTCTAGTTGACTTGTAGATTCTTAAATAGGCTATTCACCCCCCTCTAGCCATATTAGGACCTTTCAACCGTGCCAATTGGGATCGTGCAAAGCTTCCCAAGCGAATGAAGGGATCGGTGAGATAGGAGCGGTGGTTGCAGCCATGGCGTATCGAGGATTGGGCTTGAAAACACCGGCACGAGCACGAGTGACCATAGGATGTGTGGGAGGTGGAGGTGGTGTGGGAGGTGGCGCTGATGCGGTGGAACTCTGGGGCGAACCGGAGCTGGTAGACCTAGGGTCGGGCTGCACATCGGCCATGTCAGGTGAAGTTGGAGGCTGCGTGGGCGCTGAGCTTACCACAGGGGACGAGGCGATGCTGGGCGCAAAGACGCGACAGCGTTTCGGCGGGGCATCTGGCAGATGCACTAGACTGTCTTCCAAGGCGACCGAGGAAGGCGACGTGGGCGACGTCGTGGGCACGGATGGCGGCCGGAATGGAAACACAGTTTCGTCGAACACCACATGACGAGAAGTAATGATGCGACGGCTAGCAAGGTCGAAGCACCGATAGCCACGGTGGTCAAATGGGTAGCCCAGAAGAACACACGTGCTGGAGCGAGCACTCAGCTTGTGCGGTGCGATGGTTGTTTGGTTGGGAAAGCATAAACAACCGAAGACCCGAAGGTGGTCAGTATGATGGTGGAGCACCCGAAGACGCTTTCGAAGGGTGTGATCGGTGCCGTGGCGTGGCACGGACGCCGATTGAGTAGATGAGTGGCAATAGCGAGAGCTTCAGCCCGAAAAAGGAAAAGGCGGGCCTGCGTGAAGAAGAAGATCGCGCACGCATCGTTAAGTGTCTTGATGATCCGCTCGGCTTTGCCGTTTTGCGCCGAATCTGTATGGGCAAGAAAGGCGGAAGTCGATGCGTGTCTTGGCAAAATGCTTGACAGACTACAATGTTGTCAAATTCCTTGCCGTTGTCGGTTTGGAAGGAATTGAGTGTCCAAGAACCACTCGGATGCTTGAGGTCCAATGGTGGCACATTGGTCATGGCGAGCAATGAGGAGCGCTTCTTGATTCCACACATCGAGAGAGAAGAAGAGGCCGGTAGGTGCCGGTGCCGGTGGCGTAGAGCCGGTGAGGTACGCCTGCTTTGGAGAAGCGCCGGTCGAGGGCCGAGGACGCCAACCGCCGAGAACGCGG